TAGAGCCTTAAAGAGCTTTAGGTTTTAAATCACCAAGACAACCTATTGGAACAACAGTCTTTCTGTTACATTTGTAAAAATGCTAATAGAAATCTGAAGTTTACCTCATGAATCGACCATATTATTACTTGTAAGAATCGATGAAGAATATACCCTCATCAACAACAAATGAATGGCCCAGAGGAATCTTGTGGGAAGTATCTCAAAAGCCTCACTATCTGATAACAGCTTGCCTCACTCAGCCTGTTAGGCCCGATGCTGGCATAATCTTCTCCTGTTTGTTTTCCCAGAATGTGCATTTTTAAGAACAGGAATGACTAAACTTATAGAAATCCATGTGTCTGTAGAGTCAGCAAAAAGGCACCTCTTGAAAGATAATGATCACAGCAAGTTTTAAAAACAACCTACCCCACCCTCAGCCCAAAGTAAGAGAAAAACAAAATTCTTAGACACTTTTGCCCAATATCCTCATTTTAAAGATAAAGATACTAAGACCTACAAAAAAATAGACATGGGACACTGTTTTCTATATCCCACTCCCCCCACTATTCTATGATGACTGGGAGTAGTCATAGAAAAATGCTGAAAGAAAACCGTTTTCAAGTTGTTCTTAGTGATTTCTTCCTCGTGAAAATCGAAGGTACTACTTCTATCAAACGGTTACTGTGGTGTAAAAATTTTTCTGGACATTCAAATTCTTAATGACTGTCCAGTCATCATAGTGAACATTTAAATTATTTCTTTACTATGTCTTATTTTGTTTGTGTGGGACTGTGATAGTATTTTCCCTCATAACTTGGAATTTTTTGTACAGGTACACAGCCTAAAAATAAGGGGAAAATGCCAATATTTCTAACGTGATGAAAGCCCACCTTAAGAAACCATTTTAGATCTGTTGGAAAAAATCTGAAATTATTCCCCTTACATTGCTGTTTTTGTTTTGTTTTGTTTTTTAAAAAAAGATGACCAGTAAGGGCATCTTAACCCTTGACTTGGTGTTGTCAGCAACACGCTCTCCCAAGTGAGCTAACCGGCCATCCCTATATGGGATCCGAACCCGTGGCCTTGGTGTTATCAGCACTACACTCTCCCAAGTGAGCCACGGGCTGGCCCTACATTGTTGTTTTTGTCTGATTAAAAAAAAAATTGGTCCTGTCTTCTCTACCACTAAAATTTTTAAGTCTGCTTTTTTAGCGACTGGACATATTTGGAGACTAAACACTCATGAGATGATTTCCTTGTGTTTAAAGTTACCTGATATGGGGTACTGATGAAGAAACTTTGTTGCTAAATATCTAATTGTATATAACATAAATTCATTGTAGAAAATTGGGGGGAAAATAATGAAAAAGAAAAACACCTAGAATTTATTAACTAGAGATCTCCAGCATTGATATTTCCTTTCATCAGTTAATGCTCAAGTGTTCTGTTTTATATTCTTATGAAATGTTTTTGACCTATATAATACTATGCTGTTCAGACTCCGGGTATGGGGAAACAGCCGAATGCTTCTGGGGGTGAGGCAGGTAACATAAAGGTGTGTTGAACAGGTTGCTTGGAGATACTGGCAAATTAGAGAATGGAAACCTCTTTAGAAATGGGCATATTTAGGAATGCGTAGCATTTCACTCATCCTGTGAGCCACAGTGGCTTCTACAGTAGAGATATGTCTACAGTGGAGGATACAGAGAGGATAAACAACACTTTGATGTCTTCACCACATCACCACAGACACGAGGTTCAGGTTCTGTTAAGAGAGGGGCTAGATGTGGTCTAAAATATTTGACATATCAGACCACAACTCCATTTCTGCTCTCATGATATCTTTCTGAATGCAGTTGAAGGCTTCCAACCATTTCATTCAGCTCAAAATAGCAACTTGGACCTACTGGGATACCACTTGAAGAAGAAAAATATAAGCCAATAAGCAAAAATTAAAGAAAAAAGGTTTTTTGGTTTTTTTTCTTTTCAGTATATTATGCTTACATTTCAACTTTGAAACACTATATAATTTTGGGGGGGAAAGGGGCATAAATGGCACTTAATCTTGTAGGTCATCTCAGGGACACAGACACATAACAATTAAATCAATCATTCCACGTGTGCCAGGCAACAGTGAAAGGACGCCAGCTGTCTAGGAACCCACCATACAATTTCCACAAATACCATAGTTTGTTCCAGAAATATTACTCATGTAGCTTTCTATCCACAGGTAAAACTGTCAATTCGTATATATTTGTAGCAGGTATGTAGTAACCAAGATGAACATACTTTACTGAGTAAATAAAATCAAGGAGATCAGAGAAAACACTAACAGAAGACCCACGGCAAATCCCAGTGAAGCCCTGCATAGCCGTGTATCCCTGATCAACACCTTTCTCAACCTGACTTCACTGTCTTGTGAAATGTGGAGGTTGATACATACCATCCACCATGCAGGTGGGTAGCTGGCATGTCACAAGTGCAACACATACAGTAGGCCCTCAATAAGTGAAAGATGTTATTTAATGAGTCACTACTTGGATAAAAGTTAGCCCAAGGAATGTTTGCTTTTAACAGAAATACTGAAAATATTAGTTATGAAAGCCAAAAAGCAAATTTCAATACCTAATTCATTTGCAAAATGTCTGTTATAAGGCTAGCAAGAAACAGAATTTCAAAGGGGATTGGAATTGATCACACATTTATGATGGCTGCATTTTATTATATGCAAATTATACCTTGATAACTTGATCTAATAAAAAAGAAAGCTTGCAATAAATGAGATCTAAAATCACTTACAACTGTAAAATTCCATTATCTTCCAAGACTGAGTAATTTGTCTAAGGTTTCAACACTCCAGATTACCAGCTTCAAGTTTACCACCACATCCAAACTACTGAGAAAATTTTAGAAATATGACTAAATGTGTATTTAATTCCTATTGAAGGTGCAAACATTTATTCATTAATAGTCCATAATTAGCTATTTATCAATCATGTTTATAACTTCTCATTACAGAGTAATAAAAAGTAAGTAGCAGAGAGCTGGCCGGTTAGCTTGGTTGGTTTGAGCATGGTACTAATAACCCCAGGTCCAGCGTTCGATCCCCATACTGGCCAGCTGCCAAAAAATAAAACAAAAATAAAAGTAAGCGGGAGAGAATACTATGCAAAGAAATGGAAATATGGCCATGGTACATTACTTTTGGGTGAAAAAAAGCTGGTTATGAAGCAGAATAATTCAACTTTTGTAAAAATATATGTATAGAAAACTTTTTGAAGATACCTACTGGATTATTAAAAATTAGTTAACTCTGGGTTATGGTTGATTTGTCTTTTCTCCTTTTTTGTTTGCTAGCTTGTCTTTATTTTTAAACTTCAAAAAAATATGAACAAGTATTAATTCTATAATAATATTTTTTTAAAAATAAAAATAAATTAAAATATTTCAATAGAGATCACTGTGATAAGAGTGGGAAAAATTACAAGTGGGCTAAGTCTGTGTAAATCACAGGTTATATTCAGGGGGCCCACAGACAAGTTTAAATGAGCTCTTTGATGACAGATATCCAATTTCTCTTGAAAAATCAGTGGTCCTGAGGACTTGGCTAGCTGCTACCTACTTCAGATGAAGTCTCCATTCTCTCATTTACCGAAACGTAAGCATTCAAGTTTTCTACCTGTGGTATAAATAATCCAGCATTATAAGCCAAAAACATTCTGTAGGGGCTGAAAATGTAGCACTTGAAGATTACCTGATCCCAATTTTATTCAAATTTTAAAAAGGTTACACACTACTAGAGTGAAATGACATAATATTACTTGAAATGTACTAGATATCTCTGGCTAGTAGAATTACAGGTAACACTTTTCTTTTTTGTGCTTTTTATTTATATTTTTCAGATCTTCTAGAAGAAATTTCTATCACTGATCATTTATAATTAGAAAAAGTTTAACAAAACAATTTTTTGACTAGTATCTTTCACCCTATCCCTTAGTGTTTTTGTAGCTGCAATTCATTAGCCAATGAGAACCTATGACAGAAAAGCAGTAATAGCTACACACACACACCACATACACATACGAGGGTACTTCACAAAGTTCATGGAAAGATTCATATTATCTTTTAATTCTATTTTTCTGTGAACTTTTTGAAGTACCCTTGTATGTACACAGAATGTATGTTTAAGCACCTTGATTCCCATGGGCTCTATCATGTAATTTTAAACCCAAACAGATCACCTCATGCATTTTAGTCTATAAACATGTCCATTTACAAAAATGCAGACTTAAAAAGATAGAGAAAACATGACAAACTTTTTTGATTAAAAACAACAACAAAAATCTAGCCACGATGTAAGAGAGTTTTCCCTACAGATTATTCCCTACAGATCTAAAACCACAGAACAAACCTTCGTCAAGTACTAAAAAGATTGGTATTTTTTCCTTATTTGTAAGTTGTGTACCTGCTCAAAAAATTCCAAGTTTTGAGGGGAAAAAAAATCTGTCAAGCTCTCACACAAACACAAAACAAGCCATAGTAGAGAAATCATTTAAATGTTCACACTGGACCTGCCAGGCTTTAAGAATTGTGAGCATTGGAAAGACGGCAAAAAATTCCTTTACAAAACATTCGTGGTTTGGCAAAAGTGTTGTCTTGGTTTCATACGGAAGAAATCAATAAAAACAACTTGAAAGTTTTTTTTCTTTGTGGGAAAAACTACCTACTGTAAATTTCAAGTGTTTTCCCATCTTTTTAGGCAGCAAAGAAAACTACGAAGACCTTTAGGCCCTCTCAGGTATATTGAATTTTCAGGATCAATGAAATTCTAAAACTTATTTTTAAAGAATCTGAAAAAAAGAAAGCTGATTGTCAGTTTTGGAATAGAAAGGTGCCATTGCTTTCACCCTTGAAACAACCTAATGATATATTTATACAAGTGATTTGTACATGACAAACTACTTTATCCTCAAAGTCATCTGTCATTTAACCTGGAGAAAACATGGTTATGTCCTTACCTAAAGACTGGTAGAGCTCTGTCATTTTGGGATGATCCCAGCAAGTTGTTTGGGTCTCGTGGCTAAAACACAAAATATGAAGAAAGACTTTAGAATTTGCAATGGGTAGTAGAGAAAAGAAAACGACAACATGGTTTGCTTTTGAATCGTTTGGCATCTTTACTTCAAAGGACTTCCACAGTGTAGTGAAGAGTGTTTCTCTTACAAGCAGAGAGGCCCCTGTCTTTCTTCTCAAAGGGAAAAGCAATATGAACGTTATTGGTTCCAGAATTTGTTTCTTTTTTGCACCCACAAGTCGATTGCACTTCTGTTATAATAAATTGACCTGGTTATGGAATCAATAACCGAATATCAGGATTTCTGCACCCGTCCAATGTGGAGCATTCAGAAAGGACACTGACTATTGACTGTTACTCAACTCTGTCTAAGAGATACTGTACATTCATTCAATGTGTATAAATCACCTCACTTCTCATGTGCTTTCACTGCCCCTGACACTTTTCCATTACTCTTTTTTTCCACATATCCAGATCTCATATTCGTGATACCTGTATCTCATTTTGGCTTATGGAATATCCAGTGTCTGATAATATATCATACCTTCCCTCTTCCCATTACTTTTAGAATGTCTTTTTAACTCAGTACTCTATACACCACTACACCTCTTCCTATATGCACTTGGGCCTGAGTGAAGTATTCACAGTTTTCTTCCATTTCTTGAAGTATGGTTGCCGGCTACCAGCTTCTGCCACAAAAAGAACAAAACACCTTTGTTCTTCGTTCAATTACATGAAAAAACCCCAGAGAGATAACTACATATACTTTTCCTTACTTTGGTCCATCTACATAAATCACCATAGCATCGTATTTCTAGTTCTCGGGGATTACATGAGGGGCTTTGATAAAGTAAAATGCAGCCTTGCTATTTCAGTACTCATATGCAAAGCCTATTCATAATCTTTTTGGGGGAAGGGTGGGCATGAAAAAAGGGGAAATAGCTTAAATTTAGGAACTTCAAGGGGACCAGAAAGTACAGAAGCCACACAGAAAAAGGAGTTTGGAGGGGCAAAAATGTCAAATGATCTCAGTATAGTTTTTGAATTTTAGGGCTCTGCTTCCTACGACCTGTGAAATTTGGGGAAAGCCTGCTCATCTGGGAGAGTTAAAGGATTAGTTGATATAGTGAAATGACCAACACCTTTTGGTGCTCAATATGTGGTCATTTATGTTATCATGCAGCCCCAAATTACTGTTCATTAAAAGCAAACCTTTCATTAGTTGATTACAATATAGATTTGTATCCAACTGCAGTAACTCAGTCAAGCCTAAGACCCTTCCTAGAGAGCAAAAACAACACTCAACATGTATTACCTCTGTTTAAAAAAATTAGTAAAAAGGAGAAACACTTAAGGTGGTTTGATAAATATAATACAGTCATAAATCTCACAAAGACATGCGGAAATTACCCAAACTGTATAACTTCAAAGATCATCCTCATGATATTTAACGTTTAGTGATTGAACAGTGAAGGCTACTGAAAACAATCTGCAAGAAAACGTTCACTTGTGAAGGGCTGTTTCATTCTCTTTCAAATACGTTCATTTCTGTTTTACTTTTCCTCAAACAATTCTCATTTCAATTGAGGGAATGCACCAGAGTGACATCCAAGTCTTAAAGAGCAAGAGATCCGGTCCACGCCTTAGGGGGTTTTAGGAAACCCCATGACCAAGCTGGTTTATGATCTGGAGAAGGGGTAGGCGGGACTAGTACTTTATATGCACAGCACAAGGAGGCTGCAGCTTGCAGTTTCATGGAAAAAGTGTTGCTTGTTCTCAGGCATTTTTTAGCTTGGAAAGTGATTGTGTACCAATTCTGTACACAAGTGCAGAGCAAGGAGAGGATACCTCCTGTTGAGATCGCCCTGCATTCAGACCTCCCCCATTTCCAAAGGCCATCCAGATGTGCGCGCCAGGCAGGGAAGAAAGGAGAAGAGGGGAAACACTCGTGTGCCCACACGTATAGGTCCTTACTAGGCACACTGCACACTATGTTCTATCTCCAGGACATTTGGGAAGACTGTGGCATCTTCAATAGAGCTGCAGAAAAACGTTTGGCTGAGCTGATAAACCTGACCAGACATAGGAACATGGGCAAGAAATAAACTTGTACCAAATGCAATTCTAAAAGGAAGGAGAAACATGCATACAATTTACAGCAGAATCCCACATAGAGAGAGTGAATGGGGCTTCATGTAGCTCTTACATACCTACATTTCTACCTTTTTAAGGAATTTATTTTGGAGGTTAAAAATTGTGAAAAGGTTTTAGAAATTATTTTTTGATCCATCAGTCCTTAGCAAAACTAAAATTTCCTTTGGAAGAAATTCCAAGCTCCTGCCCAACTCTATCCCCTATTTTTGTGTTAAAATACTAGTCCCCGATTGCTACAGTTCTCCCAATTACCTCTGATTCTGGGGGACTTGAATAACACAGATAAATGAACTCCTCAAACAATTTTAAAAGCCAACCTTCTTTTGACTTTTTGCTCTCCTACACACAAACCTTTTATTTTTAAGCAAGACAAAGTAACTAGAAAAACAGATTTAGATTTCACCTTTGCAGTCTTAATTTCACTTCAATTGCAAACCAGCACTAAGCAAAAGAAGTGAGCACAACTGGAAAGAAGAGAATAGAGGGTGTGACTAATCCTTAAAACTAGAAAAATATTCTTTTAGTTATTTAATGCCAAAAACACTTGGTGGCATAGCTAAAAGGACTTCAAATTTTTCGGTAACTATATGATGAACCAAATATTCACTTCACTATATGTAGGTATTTTCTACCTGTGGTGAATTCAAAGCCCTACTAGGACATAATTAATCCCCCAAAATAGATAGGACTGGATGAAATGGTAAGCACACATTTGCATAACTCATATCTATATTCTATCTTGCAAGACAAACCAATTTTTGCGTGTTATCAATACAGATTTCACAGCTGTGTTTTTTACTCTGTGCCTGTCTTCAAAAACAGTAGAGAATCCTCAATAACTCCATGAGAAGCAGCTCACACTCACCTGGAATATGCAGACCATGTGGAAAAATATGCTGTGCTAAGAAGCTGCGAGTGGAAAGGTGGGTGGTACCGTTTTTGGTAATTGCCTCTTTTCTGTACTTCACTTTCCACATCGGAAACGCACTCCCCATATACCATGTCCAACCAAAAAAGAAATTCTGAAACCTGTTCACACGTTAATAGGTACATCTTCGTTTAGCCTTCCTGAGAACAATGTTCTTCAACATAGATCACAAATCTACATGTACATTAACACAGAGATCAGCTTCATAAATAATCCTTAAAACGCTCTTTAAAAATGTTATTGATTTTGGCCCTGCTAGTTCCAAAGCCTGGCCTCAGATATGCCTTTCTGAGAAGACTTCAAATTAAGATTTCCCCTCTTTTTTTTTTTTTCTTATTTGTACAAACCACAATAATCTCTCTTTTTCCCTTCATTGGAGGCCGTGATGGGAATTTGATGCAAATTAAAATATAAAGTCATTGGCTATGACAAAAGACCCCGGCAACACCTACTTGCCAATAATAAGAAATTAAAGCATTACTCTATTGAGCACAGGACTGACCTAATTTCCTACCATACAATTTAAATTTTCTCTCACCTTCTTTAGTTTCAAGTAGTGTGCAAGGTTATTATAACCGCCTCAGAGCTGTTCCTGCTGTCAGTGCTGGAATAATCAGAGTTATTGGAATTGCTTTCCTAGTTTCTTAAAAACAAACATTAAATACTTATAAAAAGTAACAAATATCTACTGCTCTCGCTGGAGAAATGGCAGTTGCCTAATTAAAATAAGATTTCTTCTGCCACCACTGTTATTTGGTATTGAAAATATTCCAAACAGTTGCCTTTAAAAAAAATATGTATCTTTCCACTACTTCCCAGGGAGGAACCTAATCGCTATGCAGCAATATAAAAAGGTAACGTTCTCTTGTGATTTGCAGAGGATTAGAGCTTGGCTTCATATATAATCTGGAGCCCATTGATCCACACACACAAATGATTTCCCTTTAATCTGGGGATCAGACACTTTTTCTAGAGGAACCTTGGTATTTGCATGTTGAATTGTTGAGCTTGGCTTGCACTGCTGGAATATTGGCAGGGAGGGGATGGGAAAATGTATTTAAAAGTTTCTGCTACTGTGGGGAGAGAGCGGGGGGGGGGTTGTCAATCTAAGCATCAGAAATCCTATTCTAGTTCCCATTTCTTGTTCCTGGGATATTTAACATTTTATTTTGTTCGGCTCAAGCTAGGACAAAGATGATTGCCTGGGTGGCTGTTCCAGCTGTTACTTGTCCTCTGTTCTATTTGCTTTTCTAGGTTTAACTCCCACCCACCCTCAATTTTGGCCGAAGCAATTTCACTTCAGGGTCGTGTCCAATCCAAGATCAAACAATGATGACTGAAACCAATTCCACGGTGATCAAGGGTCAGAGACCTTTCATATAACCATGTCGTTTCATTTGCTCCTCTCCTTTCTCCAAGAGCAACTGTATCCTCCAAAGAGGTGCTTTGGAACAAGAAAATAAAAATCTAGGCAAAAAAGGGAGGGCGATGGGGAGTGACAAGGAGAGATAACAGGGATAAAGAAGCAAAGGAACTAAAAAGTTTATTGGCCAAGGAAGAATGCAGATTTCACTTAAAGACTTTGGTTGGCCACTTAAATTGGATGGATTTTTTTCATTATGTTAATACTATGCCTCCCTCCGGCCACTAAACCCCTTCAATTTAAGCTTCAAACTTAACTTCAAATTAAACTAAGATAAGCAGAGTGTCCTACACTTTTCATTGCAGTGATCGGATTGGGAATGACAAACTTTGCTTAAAGACGAGCACAGACACCTGGCGAAACGCGAAAGAAGAGTACCCCAGAAATGACTCCACACCCACCCCCAGAGGGCAAAAAAAAAAAAAAAAAAAAAGCCCAACCAACCAACCAAAACCAAAAAACCCCAAACCCTCGATCCTCTCTCTCTGTCAAATCCTTGAC